GCTGAGAATGATGGTTTCTAGTTTCATCCATGTTCCTACAAAGGACACAAACTCATTCTTTTTTATGGCTGTATAGTATTCCATGGTGTATATGTGTCAATTTTCTTTATCCAGTCTATCATTGATGGACATTTGGGTTGGTTCCAATTCTTTGCTATTGTGGACAGTGCTGCAATAAACATACGTTTTCATGTGTCATTATAGTAGGATAATTTATAATCCCTTGGGTATATATCCAGTAATGGGATTGCTGGGTCAAATGGTATTTCTGGTTCTAGATCCTTGAGAAATTGGCACACTGTCTTCCACAATGGTGGAACTAATTTACCCTCCCACCAACCGTGTAAAAGCGTTCCTATTCTGCACATCCTCTCCAGCATCTGTTGTTTCCTGACTTTTTAGTGACCACCATTCTAACTGGCATGAGATGCTATCTCATTGTGGTTTTTGATGCATATCTCTAATGACCAGTGATGGTGAGCTTTTTTTCATGTTTGTTGGCCTCATAAATGTCTTCTTTTGAGAAGTGTCTGTTCATATCCTTTGCCCGCTTTCTGATGGGGTTGTTTTTTTCTTGTAAATTTGTTTAAGTTCTTTATAGATTCTGGATATTAGCTCTTTGTCAGATGGATAGATTGCAAAAATTTTCTCCCATTCTGTAGGTTGCCTGTTCACTCTGATGATAGTTTCTTTTGCTGTGCAAAAGCTCTTTAGTTTAATTAGATCCCATTTGTCAATGTTGGCTTTTTTTTGCCTTTGCTTTTGGTGTTTTAGTCATGAGGTTTTCGCCCAGGCCTGTGTCCTGAATGGTATTGCCTAGGTTTTCTTCTAGAGTTTTTACGGTTTTAGGTCTTAGGTTTAAGTCTTTAATCCATCGTGAGTTAATTTTTGTATAAAGTGTAGGAAAGGGATCCAGTTTCTGTTTTCTGCATATGGCTAGCCAATTTTCCCAGCACCATTTATTAAATAGGGAATCCTTTCCCCATTGCTTGTTTTTGTCAGGTTTGTCAAAGATCAGATGGTTGTAGATGTGTGGTGTTATTTCTGAGGCCTCTGCTCTGTTTTGCTACCAGTACCAATCTGTTTTGGTTACTGTAGCCTTGTAGTATAGTTTGAAGTCAGATAGCGTGATGCCTCCAGCTTTGTTATTCTTGCTTAGGATTGTCTTGGCTATATGGGCTCTTTTTTGGTTCCATATGAAATGTAAAGTAGTTTGTTCTAATTCTGTGAAGAAAGTCAATGGTAGCTTGATGAAAGTAGCATTGAATCTATAAATTAGTTTGGGCACTATGGCCACTTTCATGATATTGATTCTTCCTTTCCATAAGCATGGAATATTTTTCCATTTGTTTGGGTCCTCTCTTATTTCCTTGAGCAGTTGTTTGTCGTTCTCCTTGAAGAGGTCCTTCACTTCCCTGGTAAGTTGTGTTCCTAGGTATTATTTTATTTTCTTTGTAGCAATTTTAAATGGGAGTTCTCTCATTATTTGGCTCTCTCTTTGTCTGTTATTGGTGTATAGGAATGCTTGTGATTTTTGCACATTGATTTTGTATCCTGAGACTTTGCTGAAGTTGCTTATCAGCTTAAAGAGTCTTTGGGCTGAGACGATGGGGTTTTCTAAATATACAATCATGTCATCTGCAAACAGAGACAATTTGACTTCCTATCTTTCTATTTGAATATCTTTATTTCTTTCTCTTGCCTGATTGCCCTGGCCAGAACTTCCAATACTATGTTGAATAGGAGTGATGAGAGAGGGCAGCCTTGTCTTGTGCCAATTTTCAAAGGGAGTGCTTCCAGCTTTTGCCCATTCAGCCCATTCAGTATGATACTGGCTGTGGGTTTGTCATAAATAGCTGTTAATATTTTGAGATTTGTTCCATCAATAACTAGTTTATTCAGTGTTTTTAATATGAAGGGGTGTTAACTTTTATTGAAGGCCTTTTCTGCGTCTGTTGAGATAATCAAGTGTGTTTTTTTGTCATTGGTTCTGTTTATGTGATAGATTACATTTGTTGATTTGTGTATGCTGAATCAGCCTTGCATCACAGGGATGAAGTCTACTCGATTGTGGTGGATATGCTTTTTAATGTGCTACTGGATTTGGTTTGTCAGTATTTTATTGAGGATTTTCTTTTTTTGTTGTTGTGTCTGTGCCAGGTTTTGGTATCAGGATGCTGCTAGCCTCATAAAAAGAGTTGGGGAGGAGTCCCTTTTTTTTTTTTTTTTTTTTTTTTTTTTTTTTTTTTTTTTTTTTTTTTCCTCTATTGCTTGGGATAGTTTTAGAAGGAATGGTACCAGCTCCTCTTTGTACCTCTAGTAGAATTCGGCTGTGAATCTGTCTGGTCCTGGGCTTTTTTTCTTTTTTTTGGTTGGTAGGCTATTAATTACTGCCTCAATTTCAGAACTTGTTATTGGTCTATTCAGAGATTTAAACTCTTCCTGGTTTAGTCTTGGGAGAGTGTATATGTCCAGGTTTTTATCTATTTCTTCTAGATTTTCTAGTTTGTGTTTATAGTAATCTCTGATGATAGTTTGTATTTCTGTGGGATCAGTGGTGATATTCCATTTATCATTTTTTATTGTGTCTATTTGATTCTCTTTTCTTCTTTATTAGTCTGATTAGTGGTCTATCTATTTTGTTAATCTTTTCAAAAAACCAGCTCCTGGATTCATTGGTAAATCTCATTTTTATTTAAAGTTCCTTTATGCAAATGCCAAAGTCGTCAAACTTTGGGTTTGAGATTTTGTTTAAGGAAGTTAAATACAAGTTAGCAAACAAAAGTGAGTGTATTTTGAGTGTCTTTTTCTTTATTGTATTTGACCATACAGCTAAGTTTCTTGCTATACTATATTTATTAAGCAGCAATATGAATTTAAGGTAGCTGAGAGCATCTCAAATGAAAGTAATGAAGACTGAGAAAACTACATATCAAAGAAGAATCAGAAAATAGATATAAAGATCTTAGAATTATTTTTCTTTTAAGAAAAAATGATGAGGACATGCATCAAAACTTTTTTGAATTCCCACTTCTTTTTTAAGGCCACCCAGATTTTTTTCTAAATATTTTCAAGATATGTCCAATTCTGAAACAATTCCCTCGATTAAACAACAAAATAAGTAAATAAATAAATAAATGAAAAACTACAACTTGTCCTCTACTCCGTTCCTGATAACAAAAACCTTTGTTTTCCAAAAACTTACAGGCATAAAATGTATATCATTAAAAGCAAATATAATTGCACCATTAAATAAGTATTATAGGAAATATGCTTGCTTTAGATGATGTGAAGCTATCTTTACCGCAGAGGTTAAAGCAACTAATGCGAATAAGACAAGCTTATTAACTTGTGAATTTTATTAAGAACAACATAATGGTCGTCAACCAATGTAATGCATGCAAAACACAAGCTTGTGTTACTTGTGCTGTTGATTCTACTAAGTGGTTAATGAGTCAGTGACAATTTCACATTCAAATAGCCTGCTGAGTTATTTTTCTTTTAAATGGGTAAAATGCTTATTATGAAATAGAGAAATTAAGAATTTCTTAAGAAATCTGTTAAATTCTGAATTTTATTTATCAAACTCTGGCTCAAGTTTCTAATATCCTTTTAAATGTAAATGAGAAATATATGTACATTATTCCATTGATCATGAAGGAATGTGTGCCATGGGTTTGGTCAAGATATACACAATAAAACAAATGTTGTAAAAGGTTTATTTATTTAAAAGCTAATTTGTGCAATTCTGTGAATTTGCTATATCACAAGTAGATGAGATATCTAAATTAGAATTATTTCATTTTTTGTATCATATAAGAATTGAGTATGAAAATCCTAGGTCAGAGAAATTAAAACATAAATTGACGAGCTTATACATTTCATTCATCTTTGTGTGGGGTTCAGTCTAGGATCCCCAAAGTCCAATTTATTACATTATTGCAAAAATGAGTATCGTGTTGTCATAAAAGGCTGTGCAGTAATAAATGGCTATTTTAGCATGCTTATCATCTGAACTTCCCCAGAGACCCTACCACTGAAACCCTCAGGTGACCTCATCAATAGGCAGGTGGCAGTTGATCAATTCTAGACAAAGTTACTGGGAGAATAATTTGAATTACAAGAATTTTGCTGCCTATAGTGTAGACAGAAGAGAGTAGAGGTCATCCATCTTTCGAATTTGCGTGCCAAGTAGTATTTATTTTTTGCTCTTATAAGGAATAGGGAAAGAGGCATTACTGGGAAACTCCAAAAGGATTCTGGAGCTGGAAATTCTCGTCATGTCTAGCACTTGGATCCCAGTCAGAAAAGTGTAGGTGCAAGAAAAGAGGCTAGTGCTCCCGTATATCTCGGGACATTCTGGAGTTCTTTTTAAAATACAAATTCCACAGTCAGTTCTGCTCATATAGCACCTTAATTAGCAGCTTAACTTAGCAAGAGAGTAGCAACAAAAGCAGGAGCTAATGTCTAGAATTTGGAGAAGAGGGCTTTAATACAGTTACATACCAGCCTAACTACTTTGTATCTGTTGTATCTCAATGAAGATTGGGGGAAAATGTATAGGAAAGTTGCCTTTGTTACCAATAAAACAGATATGAACCCCCTTCACCTAGTTCCATACCTGGATTTCTAGGAAAATTAGAATTTTAAATGCCAGTTGCAAATTAGAATTAGAAATTTAAATGCTGGTTGCAAAAATCATCGTTTTCTTAGGATAAAACTACTCTCCTTATGACCTCATGGTCTTTCATCTTATATTCATGGTGCTAATATGTGTGTATCGCTTATTATAAAATACTGCTAACACTTTTTGGAAGAAGCAGGTATATAATTAATAAATAACCTTTTTACTAGACTTATCATCATGAGGTTTTGAATCTAGTTTCAGCCCAGTTTGTAGATTCACTTGTCAACTGTAGAATAAGAGCTATATAAATTCAATAGAGGAGTTTTCACCGTTAGGAAGCTAAAAGAATTGTTCTTTCGTATATCTATACCAGCACACTGTCCGTGAAGAAACGATGATGGTGATGACTGAAGACATGCCTTTGGAAATTTCTTATGTGCCTTCTACTTACCTGACTGAAATCACTCATGTCTCACAAGCCCTTTCAGAAGTGGGACAACTTCTCAATGCTCCTGACCTCTGTGCTAAGGACTTTGAAGATCTCTTTAAGCAAGAGGAGTCTCTGAAGGTAAAAGCAAAGCACTTTCATTCAGATTTTACAAGGTGATCATACCAATCATTCATAATGCCAGAACAATTGACTTACATTTTATACATCATGATGGCATTTTGACTTACATATGGAATTCTTAAAAATACTTTATAGTGTGATTAGCTTCAGAAATCTTGGGTAGAAACACCTAAGTTAGAAGATGTATTTTACAATATTTAGTGTTGAGAGACATCCTAAAATGAAAAAATGCATGAAAATAATCATTTTATACATGCAGTACAGATAGAAAGGAACCCCCAGAAAACAAACTTAGATGGAGGAACAGTTTATTCCTAGCTAATGGATTATTTTCCTTTCATTTTCCAAAACGGGAAATTAGATTTTTCATTTATATCTAATGTACATTGTTTTTGGTTTATATTTTTTGTATACATATTCAATTTCAAATTAATGTCAATATCTATGCTATAATATATGGAATAAAATTGAATAGAAATCAATAAAATATTTTCTTTATAACTGCTAGCGAAAGGCTACCAACAAAATCCATCTGTTTTCAAACCACCAGCAGCAAGTTACTGCATTCTGAAGTAAGACAAATCATGATAAGGAAGTAGGCTATGAATTTTAGAAGGCAGTGTCTGAAGATAAATGAATGTAGGATCAAGAAAATGTACATAATAATGTCTCTCCAGATAATTTTGTGATCATACATTTTATACTCAAAATGAAATATTATAGTGTACCCAGAGCTTGGTATTTTCCAATGCAAACTGCATGTGATTATAGGCAAAAGATGAGTTTGCTATCAGCAGCACATATTAGCTAAAGTATTTTATACTCAGATGATTTCCTGGAAGCTCATTCTATGTCACACATTTGTCTGTATGAATATACAAATGGATAAAGCTATTTGTTTGTTTTGGAAATCGGTGTTGCAATATCTCAGTGACTTGACTTTAATATCTTACATTATATCAAATAAGCTATAAAATTACACAGTAAAATAAGAGCTTCACAGATCTCTGGAACTATTCCATCCATGTCAGTATGGCACTGTTTCTTACTCTGTTTGAAGTAAAAGTCAAATCACTCATTGGTACAATGATGGAAAAAACCCTAATCAGTTAGTAAAATAAAGCTGACATGCCAGAATTCCTGTCATTATTTCTATTAACTAAGTTCTCATGGCAGCAGAGTTTGTAAGTTCATCATTGTCATTCAACATGTAAATTACTGCGAATGAGCTAATATTCATTCCTTCCCAGGATCATGGACATTTGATTCAGGAGAGCAGTGACCCTGATCTTATTAAGTTGCCCATTGAATAACGGTCTCCATACCTCTTAACCTGGCATGCTCAGAATGGTAGACCCTTGGCTACACTCATAGTGAATCATTTGTTCATCCTGATCTATTTAATATTATTATAGCTGACATCAATCATAGTAGTATTGATTACTGTGGTTTATAATATGGTATTATTGCAGGTTTAATTTAGCTAAATGGTTGAATCCCCATAAGATGCAGTTGTGGGCGTGATTTCTTCTCTCTCCCAACAAATCTCCAGCAGGTGAATAGGCTTCCTACCTTCATTGACTTTTTGAAGGGGGATAGTTTTGAGCTCAGTCTTTTCGATGAATATGTATTTCCTGTTAAAGACATTCATCATTGTCATTATCCAGTAGTAAAAATAGAAAAGCAGTGCATAAATTGTACAGCTGCTGGTTGGGAAGGTTTGAAATTAAATTGTGGTTGATTTTATTCCTGACAGATTTGCATAAATCAAATTACAGAACTATAGTAGGTATTGCTGTGCTTTAACATACAAATTTTTTTGAAAGTGCAATATAAAACAATATGTAATAAGTTAAAAGAATTACTTTCTAAACAAAATACAACTAAAATAGCACATATGGTTTCAATAGATGTATTGAATTGGAAAGCTACCTAATCATGTTGACAGAGACTATGCAGAAAAACACCAACTTATATATGGAAATCTGCATTTAATAGCAAAAACACTAGCTAAGGCAGAGCTAGAGAGGAATGAGAAACATACACATAAGTAATATTTTCGTTCTTATTTCAGAGCCAATATTAGCAGTTAATTGATTGTGATTGTTTATATGTACAAAGTTAATAATGCTCATAACAGACAAGAGTACATAATTTTAGAAGAATTGCAATTTTTGGAAGTTTAGAACAATATTAAGTTGCATTTTATTTTTAAGAAAAAATCATTTTCATGATAAAATTTTCCAAAATATAATTACTGTGTTAAACCATCAAATCCTGCTTTAAAGTATCTCATATGAAAGGATGAACATAGAATTTCTTAGCATCATAAGTTTTAAGTTACCGAAAGGTTTTCTCTTGAGAGAGTTAAATATTCAAAAGCTTATCCTAAAAGCAGAAATGATCCACTTAGAAGACTTAACTGAAAGGATTTATCATCGTGTGTCCATATGCCTAATTTTACTGACAGCGTCAGTTTTACTGGAGTATGAAACACTCTTGGGACATCACCCGTATCATTTCCTGACTCAGCATGCCTTGTACTCTGACTGGCAGCTGCCAGGTCCAAGTGTCTCTGTTTGCCTTAGGGCTCTCTCTAGTAATCAAAGCTCATGAGTGTCAGGTAGTTAAAGCTCTGCATCCCCAATGTTCCCCAGCAAACCTCAACCAATAACAGATAACTTTTGGTGGATAAACACCACTACTCACTCGCTCTTCAGTTAGGGTAACTCTGAAGCATGATTTATGCTCTGAACCACAATTCTGTTCCAGGATTAAGACCCCGTCGCACACAGTAAAAACCTGCCTCATAGGATACTTTTTACTTGCTCCCTGTCCTACCTTACACACACTTACCAGCACCTCCTTGGATCATTCCCAAATACATCCCTTGTCTTAGAATCTGCTTTTAGGGGAACTCTATCTAGGATATTTTTGAAATAAATAATGATATATTTACTGTGTAGTTAGCATCTACATAGAGAAATTCTTAGAAATAGTTCATGCAGGCCGGGCGCGGTGGCTCAAGCCTGTAATCCCAGCACTTTGGGAGGCCGAGACAGACGGATCATGAGGTCAGGAGATCGAGACCATCCTGGCTAACCCGGTGAAACCCCGTCTCTACTAAAAAATACAAAAAACTAGCCAGGCGAGGTGGCGGGTGCCTGTAGTCCCAGCTACTCGGGAGGCTGAGGCAGGAGAATGGCGTAAACCCGGGAGGCGGAGCTTGCAGTGAGCTGAGATCCGGCCACTGCACTCCAGCCTGGGTGACAGAGCAAGACTCCATCTCAAAAAAAAAAAAAAAAAAAAAAAAAAGAGTTCATGCCTTTCGTGTGGAATTCTTCAAGTGATTCTGCTCCTCCCTCATTCAGGGAATCCTTAGCTGTTCAATTAGGCCTTGGTATCAATAAATGTGAATTTTTAGGACAAAAATAAGAACATAGCTTGTAATAAGAATGACAACTATGATTTACCTTTTGCAATAATAAGAATCAATTTACAGCTAATATTATTCTTTATGGTGGAGTGGAATGTTTTCACCCTAAGATCATGAACAAGACAAGGATATCTGCCCACTTCCCTTCAGTATTCAACATTGTACTGGAGTTTCAAACCATTGAAAGGAGGAGGAAGGAAGGGAGGAAGTAGGGAAGAAAGAGAGTGAGGAAAGGAGGGAGGGAGAATCGAAGAAAAGAAATAAGAAAATAAGGAGAAAAAGAAAGAAGGAGGAAATAAATGGAAGGAAAGTAAAAATATCAGGCACACATCATTTCAATTGTCTCATCAAAACCAATTATAGTGCAGATGCCTTGTTTGGAGTGAATAAAATGTGCTATACTTTGGGTAACCAAGAGGATGATGAAAAATGTGGCCATATGAAGAAAGCTCACAGGTGGGAGACATGGTAGTCCTAATGTAGATTTTAAATAGGATTAAGAAATAGAGACAACCCTTGTTCAGCTTTAACACTGCAAGGGAAAGCTGGTAGTGAGCTTATAAGCCAAAGATAGTGTGAAGCAAAGTCGTTCAAGCCCTCTTGAGTTCAGGTTTTTTGCATTGCTCTTGAGAAATAAAAAATTGTTAGGACAAGTAAATCTAAGGAATGCAGATTCATTCATTCCAAAAATATTTATTGAGCTCTTAGTATGGACCACACACTATTCTAAGTGCTTATAAAACAGTGAAGGAGACTAATGAATCTTTGCCCTCATACAGCTTTTATTATAACATTGGGAGACAGAATAGAAGCAAGCAAACAAAGAAAAATGATAAGTAAATATCATGTATTGCTAGGTGATACGTATTTTGGGGGAAAAAACAAAACAGAATCTGTTAAGGGGATATAGGACCACTACAGGGGTAGATGTAGGTATAATTGAAAGTGGTGGGATTGCATTTTCAAATAGGGTAGAAATGACCTTTGAGCAAAGATTGGAAGAAGGTAAGGGAGTCAGCCATGGAGTCTGAGTAAAGGCCCAAATGTGCGACCGAGCTTTTCTTAATCAAACACCAACAAGAAGGCCAAAGTGGCTGAAGCAAAACAAGTCAGCGGAAGAGTAGAAAGAGATGAGGTTATGGGAGTTGTGAGTGTCCAGATTGTGGAGGGCCTTTGGGGCCATTGTAAAGAAGATTCTAAGTGAGATGAGAGCAGTTGTTAAGTTTTTGAGCAGTTGAGTGGCACGATCTCAATCATGTTTTAAAAGGATCACACTGGCTTCTGGGTTGAGAGTAGAACTGTAGGGGGCCAATAGTAGAAGCCACAAGAGTTGAAAAAGATAGATGCTGGTGGCTTGGACTCAGTCAGTAGTGAGAGAATGTCAGATTCTGGAAATATTTTCAAATTAGAGATAGAAGATTTATTTCTCTGGTCACGCAGAAACTTAAGCATGTGTCTATGAAAACCCATTCTCAGCAGACTTGGGGCCGAGTTAGAATTTCGGTGGCGTAAAACTTAGCAGAAGATCCCTTGAGAGATGTACGATTTCTTCTCATATTTT